GTTGTCATAAATTCTCAAATTACAGGTGCTGTTGTCAGTAGGTTTTTCCATTATTTTGTCCTGTACATTAGCAGGTGCAGGACAAGCTTTCATCTGTCTGACACGACACATCTGTATCGTCAGTGTTGTCTTATACATTAAAGTGGAACAAGTACGCTCAAAACCACTTAACAGGAAGTCCTCCAGCGCAGAGCAACTGAGCCTGTTTTTACCAGCCCCTCTTTCCTTCAGTGCTTCCTGATTAAAAACATACATTACGTTAGCGAAACAGAAAGTATATTTCTGTTACTTCGCCATTTTGAGCGAAGCAGGGTAGATGCAGGTTCAAGTAGAGAGGGAATAAACTTACTCCTGCATTGAAAACACACTGAAGTGTGGTAATTGCGGAAGGTGACTGGGGGGAAAGAGCAAGAGGTTTTACCAGAATTCAGACTTCAGACCACTGGCTGTAGAGTCTGAGAGCCTGAAAACAGTTTAGGGAAGATTATAAGAGCAGAAGGACTTCAGAGGAGACTTCACATCACTCTGGGTGAGTCTATCAGGAATAAATGTATCAAAGTGAGCACTGTTTCACCTCTCTTATGTACTGGTACAGGGTTTTCCAGCAGTGCATTCTGAAACTGATCCTTGTCTGCAGCCAAATGCAAGAGTGAAGACACATGGAGCTGCTGAGATCTTTCACAGTGCATTCAGGTTTAAAATGGCGGAGAGCGGAAGTGCTGACAGTGGTGGATAAGGTTGCGTCAGTGTTTTTATACTTAGAGAGCATTTTCTTAGTGCCTTGTAAAAGTATTGACAGCATTGAAGTTTCTAAAGTTTGTTGTTTTAATGCTTCTTGGTCAAAATACTATGAAGTAATAATATTCATTATGTACACAAACATCTGTAAAAATTCTTCACACTAGCCTTGGTTGCAAGGTATTTCTGCATGGTGTCCCGACCTTATATGCCAGCTTTGTGAAGCTCATGATGTGCAGTATTTTTGAGGCTGGGTCACAGAGCTGTAGATTCAGTGCTGTGGTAATTCTAGAGGCTGTCGTTTTGTTGTTTTTAGTAGCGATCCTGTTAGGTGTCCATCTAGCCCTGTCAGTGAGCTGTGAGTTGTGACCACTGTTCCTCCTTCCTGATGCTGTTTCCCTTGTTTATCATAATGTATGCTGGTCTGATTTTCGTCACTGTTTCCATGACATTGTTCCCGTTACCTGTTCTCAGCCCATGTGCAGACATCACCTTGCATTCCTCTTCATACAGTTAGCAGTTGTGTTAAAGTTTCATTATTTTTAATCACTCACAGAATAACAGTAATGTAACATTATAAGACAGTTTTCATCTACTTCTTGGAAGCAGAGTCTTTCATACTGTATGTCAGTGAATACATCAGACATGTATATTTTTTCATTCCAGTTGTAGGAATAACAGCAACATAGGATTAGTCAGATCTTATTATTTTGTTCACTGCTCAGAAGTGAAGATTTTGTGCTCATTTTGTGTTTCTGTGCATTGTTCTAGGTTATAAAAGGATTCTGAAAGGCAGCCATACCCTAAATATCAGCTTTGTGAAGATTGTGATGTGCAGTATTTGATGACACTGGCTCACTGAGCTGTAGATTCTGTTATGTGAGGCCTTTGCTTTGTTGTCTTAATAACTTTTGTTTTAGATGGAGTTTATAACGAAGGTTCAGGAGGGATGACTACAACCACGTTCAATCAGACTCAGCCATCAGTAATTGTCAATCGCTTCTGACATCTATTCCTCTCCCAAAATGCTATAAATACCTACGAGATCTCTCTCTCTCTCGTGCATGTCTGTTGCATGAGTCTCAATGTCTTGCTGTCTCGCTGTCCTCTCCCCCCTCGTGTGCACTCTTGCATAGACAGTACTACGATACTGCCTACACCATACAATCAATATTCCTGTTTGCTGCTCCAATGCACAGTTTGATCTCAGCTACGAACCAGCTGAGTACCAGCTAGCCATTGATCTGACTGTTCGTCGCTTTTCAACATCTGCCAGCTTCATCTGGTCTTTCCCAACACCATGACCATTGTCAACCCGTCATTCCCAAACAGCTAGCGTTTGACCATCTAGTTACTTCTCCTGTTTTAAAATAAAAGGGCTGCTCTAGGCAAGCGCACATTCGCCGCCATGTTTGCAAATTCGAAACCTTTCCTCCCATTATCACCTGGACAGTAGCACAATGTCAGCAAACTACGTTAAAACAACTTTAATTCAGGACGTAAATCTTGCAATATTACCCATTTTCCTATCAAAGATATACCTAACGCATCCTTTGCTCCCAGTAGACTTCCGCATCTCCCAACGACGTCATCAGCAACGCTACACTCCAGTCCGTGCAAATCCTGAGCTGCCAATGCAGCCAACCTGCTGATCCTACCCTCGTGTCCATAGGATCGTGCTCTGGATTTTTAAAAAAATGCTGCTTATTTTGCATTCGCTACAGTGTGTTCAGATTTAAAATGACAGGGCACAGAAGTGCTGACTGTGGTGGATAAGATTGCATAGTGGTTTTATTCAGTTCATTCTATAAGTACCTTGACGTTGTTTGCATTTTGTTGTTTTAAATCTTGTGTGTCAAAATACTATGTAGTATTATTAGGTATGGAAAATACTCCAAAGTAGAAAACCCAAAAAAGATCATTAATAAGATGAGAAAAATGACAAAGTCATGAATGCAGAAGTTTTCAAAACCCTGTACTGAGTTAAACAGAGTGCACAAATGCTCCAAAACAAGCTGCAGTGATAGTTGTGCAGCCTTTATGTGCTATAATAGTCATTCACACAATTTAAGAAATAAATCCACCATTGTCTCTGTAAGGTCCCTCAGTCAGGCAGTGAATATAAAGAAAAGATTCAATCCTGGAGACTAAGAAGCTTTCAGAACAGCTCAGGGATAGAGTTGTAGAAAGACACAGACAGACTGCACACAGGTCCCTGTGGAACAGCACTGCCTGCATCCATCCAGTCACAGGCTGTTTCCTGTTCTCAGCCCATGTGCAAACATCACCTTGCTTTCCTTTTCATACAGTTAGAAATCTTGTGAAATTTCAAGTGCTTATTTTTAAACAATAAACAGAATAGTGTCAATAATGCAACATTGTAAGACAGATTTATGCACTCATTGTGGCATCACAGTTGGTAATATGAACAGGGATATGTCATATTTAATTTGATATATGTCAAGAAATACATTAGTCTGATAATATGTATTCTTCTCATGGGTAACATTGAAATTAATTCAGTTTTAAACTCTGCCAAGTTAATACTATTCTATTTGTAAAGGCAAGACTACGTTTGTGACACTATACTGTTACAGATGTTGTTAATGAGCATTACAGTGTGGTGAGTGTGTCAGTATTGTTAATGTGCAGTAAAGTGTGTGAGAGTGTGTCAGTGTTGTAAACGTGTAGTAGTGTGTGAGAGTGTTTCAGCGTTATTATTGTGCAGTACAGTGTGTTAGAGTGTGTCAGTGTTGTTGATTTGCAGTACAGTGTGTGAGAGTGTGTTAGTGTTTTGATGTGAGATGTGAGAGTTTCTCACTTTTTGTTGTGTGTTGGCAGGTTGTGCTCGTATCAAATTCATGTCCTTGAGACCCTCTGCTGATCCTCAGGAGGGGAACAGTTTCTTAAATGAGTCTCTCTGAGGAGCCTGAGGCTGAAGATGGAGCACTGGGCCCTGAAATTGAGAGGTAAGAGGGTGTTCTTGTGTTTGGGGACCTGACTGACTCTGACACTGAATCTGTCTGGCTTCAAAGCTGTAAGGATGTGTCTGTGTTACTGTAGGTTTTCCTGCTGTCCCGTGTCTGTTGTCAGTTATGTGACTTTAGTAGCTGAGGTCTCCTGGCCCTGCTGTCTTGGGTTTTGTGTTGCACGCTCAGTGTCAGATGTCAGATGTCAGAGGGATGCATGTTGTGGGAATGTCACTGTGACTGATTGCATACCTTAGTTTGAGATTCTGAACTATCGTTTACCAAAATCTGGCTTTACTCATCTATTCCGGACACTGCTAGCCTCCTGAGATGCTTTTCTGTCCACTGTCAGGACAGAACAATGGACTTGAGAAAGACCAGGGGCGGAGTGGTGTGGTTGATGGTTAATAACTCCTGGTGCACAGCTGTGGAGACTATTTCATTGTCATGCTCTCCACACCTTGAACACCTGACAATAAAATGCTGCCCGCTCTGTCTACCGAGGAAGTTTACATTGGTGGACCTCACAGCGGTGTATATTCCACCACTGGCAAACACCACAAGAGCCCTGAATGAATTAATCGTCCATATCACCAAGGACCTCACATGGTCTCTCAACACCACCTGTCTGATCAAGAAAGCGCAACA